TTTCCTCCATTTGCCACTAAGTAGGTACAGTTGGTTCCTTACTTCTTTAACATGAAGCAAACATTTCCCTCATATATTTTGAACCACTTTTCTTCTTTTTGATTTTTTACTTTTTGGTTTTTGTGAGAACCATTTGCTTCAAACTCAAAAAGTTGAGTGGTACATGTCTTAAACCAAGTAAGGCCCCTCAGTGCAGAGAATCAAAGAGAGTCAAAAGTTTGTGCAGGCTCAACCACTAGTGACTCACGTTGGCCCGTTAATACATATCAATAGCCACTAATAATATTGAGGGAAAGTAGATTTTTCGGCTTATGTGGAAGACATGCTAGACTTAGACTTAGGAGTAGATTCTATTTCTCCTGTTTACTCAATTCAATAACTGAAGGGGAAAGGGACATACTAGTGTACGCGGCGAGGGAGGGTTGCGTTTGATTGCTGCATGTCAGGAATAGGATTGCCAAAGATAAGGAAAAAGCTTTGGCATGATCAATAAGGTACCCACAATTGATGGATCAGATTCTTTGCGAATTCAAAGGAACACAATTGATGGAGCAGATGCAATTTCGTTTCTCTTTAGACTCCTTCTCCCATTTTGAGAGGTTCTCTTCTTAGTGTGAATAAAATAAAGGTTTGATGGAACACATGGCTTGCCATCAATGACAGCTGAAATTTAAGATAGCTATTTTGTTGTAGGTCAGCGTTGAGATCCTAATTCCTGTACATTGATTTTATTTAGCTCATAGGAATTTGATTCTTCCTTCCCAAATCATCTTACCCAGATTTCTTAATTTAAAGCTACTTTCTTCTTATAGCACTTGCCGAAAATTTTATCAAGTGATCTCGTTGGGGCTAGAAGAGCAGGAACACAATTTATCTGATGTATGGAGCATTCTGATACCACCTTTATTTAAAGTTTATTAAATTGATGTATTAATATAATAAGGTTGTGTCAGAAATACGACGAGTAGTGATTCATCGAATAGTAAGCTAAGTCCAAACTCAGCAGTTGAATATCTGCCCCAAATAATTTTAAAAAGTTTTTTGTTATTTTTAGTATGTAATAATAGTAAAATTTTATTAAAAAAAATATTATTATATTTTTATAATTTTAATATAATAATTATGTATTCTTTATAACAAAATTTTATTTGTAAATGTTTAAATTTGGCTCTAAAAATTGAGGTTAATAAAATTCTTTTAAAAAATATGAATACTTAATTATTATTATTTTAGATTTTTAAAAAATAGTATTAATTTAGTTCATTGATTATAAAAAAATGCGTATATGTATTCTTTAATAGTTTATACAGCTTAAATCTTTCAACCATTAAAAATATCACTAACTTAGTTCTTTAATCGTATACATGTTATATTATTTTAAATTTAATCATAAAATTACACTTTTTAATCTGTTGTCATGACGGTTAAAATATGTTTTGTTTCTAAAGTTAAAAAAATAGTTCTATAAAATTTGAACAAACTAAAAGTTGAACATGTTTATAATATAAGTTGGATGAATAATGAGAAAGAGGAATGAATAAGTGACTAAAGTAGTGTTCCTTACAAGTTGAAAATGTGATATATATATATATATATATATATATATATATATATCGACAACACAGAGAGAAAAATGACATACTAATATGGAAGATTTTTATTTTTATTGAAGTTGTGTAAAAAACCAAACACTCAAGCCTTATTATATATAACAAAATTGATCTAGGATTTACATTTTTATAACACTACTTTGATTTTTTATGAGATGATTATTTTACTCAAATAAATAAATAACTGATATACTATACATGTTATAAAATTAGAAATGATTTTACATTTATTTTTGTCTTGTAAAGAAAAAAATTGTTTTCATATATATTGCGGAGTGACACGATATGTGCTTATAAAAGGAACTTTTTAGTGTCATATTTATCTTAAACAATAAAATAATTCATATTATCCATATTGAAAATAAAATAATTGGCGAAAGCTTACTCCTTATTTCGAGTTAGTTGATCTAAATGGCTTAAAAAATGGAAAACAAAATTAGAAAATAATCATATAACAAAATGTACTACATAGAGTATATTAGTTACTATAAAAAATTATAACGTAATTCATAATAAAATTATATATAATTTAAAATTAATATCGGAAACACCTATAATTATATATAATCAGAAAGTGAAGAGAATTTGCTGTGATACGGTTGAATCTAGGGGAGTCGGTCAAAATTGGAACCTTATTGAGACTATTGATTAAAAAAATGTTAACCAGTATTTTTTAAAACAATGATTAACTAATTAAAAATAAAAATATTTAAAAAAATATAATATATATTAACTTGCATATTTTAAACAAATTTAATATAGTTTTCAATAAAAATAAGTTATTATTTATCTATTTCTTAATCAACCAGTGTCCTAGCTAAGACTCTTAAGAACATCCTCATCTCTAATTTTGATGCAGAACGTTCCATTTAGATTTTAGACAGAACAAAAGGGCAAAGAAGGTTCTGTACTAATGCTCTAAAGTCTAATCAACTTGTAATGAGCGTCTTCTATGTAAGAAATACGTTAGGTTATAGATTAGAACGACACCATCATACTAGGAGTGAAGGTATGGACATTACACGTAAGGGAAACATGAAAGCAATCTACACTCCGGTCACATTACAACAAGGTACCAAGTGCTCAATACACAGTTAAATAAAACCATTAACTAAGAACCAGTTATGGCATTTTGGTGCTTCACTAGTGTCATTCCTTATTGAGGGATGAACTTGAAAGGACAAAATAAGCTTTGAGGAATGTGATGAGTGGAGGAGTTTATCCATGGAATATACCCTACCCCACATGGCTCAAATATACATGCACTCATTCTTATAGTTGCATAGGTATAATGATTTCCATATTGATTCATTTTGGTTTCCCTAAAACATCACTACTCCAAGTCAACTTTAAGGGTTTCAAAGCATAACGGCGGGTTCTGTGCCATCAAAATCATAGTGGTGAAGGCACTCGGCACTCGGCACTCGGCACTCGGCACTCAGCACACAGACACCTACCTATCTTCTCATGGTTTATTTGTGAAAGTGGCTAGGATGTTAATATAGGTTGACATTGCACTTGCACGTGGGATACTATTTATTTAGAAGGAAAATAACATGTTAATGCAAATGAAATTAAGGTCTAAATGACGCAGTTTCATTTATGAATGGGAATGGTGATGAGTGTTTGTTTGACTATATAGTCTTTTGTCTGTGCATATAATCATTTTTTTCGTTGGAAAGAGGTTTAATTTATTGCTCTGATCAGGATATTGTGCGATGTGGAAAGTGCAATCTATTTCTGATAATTTTTTTTTAATTTATTCACTTTTCCCACTTTATGAGTTAATAACACGTTTGTTTATATTTCATCTTTTTCATTGCGTTCCTTTGTCCTTTTCAACTTTTATGAATGTACCCTGATCGTTTTCATTTGCTGGTGAAAGAACCAAAATTTGTTAAGAAGTTCGCGTGATGATGAATGATAATTTGGGTAGTTGACCATTTTAATGTTATTAGTAAATTTACCTAAAATTATTTAAGTAAGTAATTGGATTGGAGTAGTGATTTTGTGACGTATGAGTTTGTATTAATCGAAGGGTTCAAGGGGCTGGTTTATGTTACGCCTTATTTATAGGTGCCACCAAACATCACTTTTAAATTATGGTTTCAACCATTTAAAAATTACAAATTTTTATTCAGAAAAAATTATCTTATAAAAATATTAATAAATATTTTGTAATAGGCAACTATAATTTTAAATACTTGAAACTAAATCTAAAACAAACTCGCATTTAAGAATTTCTAAAATTAATTATAATTTTAATTATTAAATTTTTTATCAATAATTATTAACACATTATCTTTATATTTATTTGACGAATTGAGATCCTAAATTTTAAGAGTGGCATAATTATATAAAATACTGAAAAGATACTTGTCAAAGGGTCAAACAAGAACTATATAACTGGATTTAGACACTACATATATTTAAGTCAAAATCTTAAAATACTAACGTTTTGTTTGAATGCGGAAAAAAAGTAAGAAAAAGGATAAATAAATATATAAGATAGGAAAAAGTATAATATAAAATAAAACAAATAAATAAATGAGTAGAATTTTAATTTGTTTCGATTAAAAATAAGAAATAAAACGGAAAAAAATCAAGGTTTTTTTATTTGTTTGGTTGGGTGAAAAATAAAAAGAAAGAAGGAAGCATTTTAATATAAAAATGTTAACATCTTTATATAAATTAATACATATTTCATAATTTTCAATAAATAATTTTTCAAATCATTATTCAATATTAATAACACTTGTTATAATATATATAAATAAAAAATTAAATAAATAGTTTGTCATTGATTATTCGGAATCTTTTTATGTTTTAAATAAATCTAAACTAAAAACACTAAATAAACAAGAGATCAGGTTAGTGATATACGGATGTCTCGATAGCCAAAGAGACTAATACTAAAACGAAAAGCTCTCAATAATATTTTTTTCCTAAAATTAATTTTAAAAAATTAAGGCATCACGTATAAGGAAAACTTAAACAATATCATAAGATCAACACACAAGAGAATCGAAATAGTACATTGTTTTTATTTTCGGTATAGATTATAAATATTAATTTTAAGTTACATATTTTTTTGATAAAAAAGAAAAACGTAAGAATTTCCATTAGAAGGAAGCAAGGAGGAAAGGGACTGAAATCTTGTTACGGGTGACTGCCATACAAGTTTGAATAAATGGCATTGCCTTTTGTCTGCAAGTGACTAATATTTTGTTTGCTGAGTCTTGGAAGCTCAATCTAGGCCATGCACCGTAACTCGTAACCTTAATCTACGGACACAAAGCCACTATATGACACATTTCTGGTCTTTTTTCCATTTCTTAACTGCGAAGCATCCTTAACTATATAAACAAAAACTCCACCCGATCCCATTCTACATCTGCAACTTCTCTTCTACCAACCATCTTCTTTCAATCAACAATATATCCATTTAGAATATGGTGGGTCATTCCATTCTTTTTCTTTGTTTTGAAGATAATCTCCTTAATTTTTTCTTTTATATACTTTCTTAATTCGTATCGCTCTTTTTATTTATTTCTTAATGCGTTTATATAACATGCACGCTCGTAAGTTATACGCCTTATGTATACAAATACTGGGTTATCATAATTTACATATATTATTTTTATTTATCAATAATTTATTTAAAATAAGTCAGTAAAACCATATTATTTTAAGTCTTTTTTTGTCAAATTTAACCTTTAACAATAAAATTGATAATTTCGGAGTTCTAGAGTCCAACACACAGGAACTCGAATAAGTGGACATGGCATACGATTGTTAGGGTCGAAAGACCAGTGAATGCCTCATATGAAAAAATAAAAAATCAATCTTTTTTTTTATTTTGGTTGTTTGTTGAGGAAAGAAAAAAAACGTCACATAATATTTTTGGGTAGGCCCATTTCTCGATTGCCATACAGACTTTAAGCCTAACGATGAAATGTATTGACTGTACACTGACTAATCTGCTTATTGCTGCTTACAATGCTGATTCTGTAGGAACAGGCCTTTTCCTTTGAATTTGAGGTATTGCTAATTTCTACATTACCTATTTTACTTTCTTTTTTTTTTATCCATTCCTATTCAAATTTTGTTATCCATTATGAAAGCTACTTAACATTTTCTTGGTAATTATTTCTGGATCAGCATGAATTTGTTCAAAACACCGAAAGAGTGAAATCTGTTGATCTGCATCCAACTGAGCCATGGTAATAACTAAGAACACTTCCAAATGACTTATTTAATACGTATTTCTGCAAAAAGGCTAGAACATGAATTCCCATTTCAGGCACATGAATGTCAATTTTAATGTTATCTTGTACTTTTCTCCTACAGGATTCTGCTGGGTTTGTATTCAGGAACTATTTCTATCTGGAACTATCAGACCAAGGTAAACATACCTGCACTTAAATACTATGAAGAAACTAACAATAATGTTTAAAAAGAAAATTAAAACGGTCATTTGCAAGATTTTATTCCTAGTGCTTATATAGACAGTAGAACTAGAAACAATAAACTAATAAAGCTGCTAGTTGTTCTGTACCTTTATGCTTATGTATGTGTCCATCTTTTCTTGAGATTATTATTAACTTCTGTTTGATACCATGACAGACTGAAGAAAAGACTTTAAAAGTTAGTGAATTTCCAGGTAACTGTCAACAACTTGTGCAATCTATAAATTTTTGCCTGCTTTTTATATCAATATTTTTGCTACTTGTCTTAGTTCCCAACTCAGTTATCTTTTTTTTTTTTTCGTGTTTGTTTTTATTTTGTTAAATCTTAATGTTTGCAGTGAGATCAGCAAAGTTCATTGCTAGGGAAAATTGGATTGTGGCAGCAACTGATGACAAATACATTCGAGTCTACAATTATGAAAAGATGGAAAAGATAGTAGAATTTGAGGAACATAAAGATTACATTAGGAGTTTGGCTGTTCATCCTTCCCTGCCATATGTGGTGTCAGCTTCAGATGACCAAGTTCTAAAATTGTGGAATTGGAGTGAAGGTTGGTCATGCCATAAGACCTTTGAAGGGCACTCGCATTATGTGATGCAAGTGGCATTTAACCCAAAGGATCCAACTAGCTTTGCTAGTGCATCCCTTGATGGCACCTTGAAGGTATCCGAAGCGTTTCACATCCAAATCTTATAACCGCATTATCTTAATAAATTCATTAAATGACATTTTTATTCAATTGTTTCCCTTTGTAGATTTGGTATCTTGGTTCCTCAGCTCCAAATTTTACCCTAGATGGACACTCGAAAGGAGTGAATTGTGTTGATTACTTCATAAGCGATGACAAACAATATCTTCTAAGTGGTTCTGATGATTACACTGCCAAGGTTTGCATTTTAACTACTCTTATCTATATTTCAGTTTGAGATATTTTCCATCAAAGCCTAGGTTGACATTTCTACAGGTATGGGATTTCCATTCTAGAAACTCTGTAGAGACACTTGAAGGACATGAAAACAATGTTACCGCAATATGTGCTCATACTGAGCTTCCCATAATAATAACAGCTTCAGAGGATTCTACCGTTAAAATATGGGACGCTATCACATACAGGTACTTCATAGGCTATTGGAAGTCTCATTTTCATTTATGTGATATATTTTTTTTCTCTACTTTTATTTTGCTATAAATCCCATAAGGAAATTTTTTGTTGGTTAACATCTTTTACACTTGCCATTAACTTGCAGGCTTCAGACCACGTTGAACTTTGGTCTTGAGAGAGTGTGGAGCATTGGATACAAGAAAGGATCATCTCAGTAATAATCTAAAACTCTTATTACCAACAATTAAACGCCTATTACTAATTCATTACTAACTGGCATCACTTCGTTACTTCCTGCAGGCTTGCTTTTGGTTGTGACAAAGGATTCATCATCGTTAATGTGAACCTCCCAGTTCCAAATAAAACAAGTTTTAAAGTGATTAGTTAAAAAAAATAGTGATTGAGAATTTGATGAAAAATATGCACTTCAAGTTTTTAAAACCTCAATCATTATTTTTATAATTAATTATTATAATTCTGCAGCTTACTTTCTAAAATACACTTTTCACTTTACAATAAGCCTGTCTGTTGCTGGTGATACTGTGATTGCAATCGTGACAAGTCTAAAATAAATGACCAACTTTTGGCTGCCGAAGGACATGTAGTTATGCTGAAGATTAACTGCAGATGGAATATGATATTCGAATTTGCCGTTGATTGTTTGTTTTAAAGTTGTTACCAGAATAAGCGAATTTAGAATCTACGTTAGCCCTTTATTGTGACTGTTCCTTATGTAATATACAGTATGTTATACACTGTAGTTTTGCCTAGTTGATGATAATAATAATAATAATAAGAAAAAGTGTTATCACAATAGTTTTCTTTCCGTACTTATCTTTTCTTTTGTACTTCAATTATTTATATACACTTTCTATTTATGCTTCAATCTATTCCTTTTTGTTTATATCATTTGTTATATTTATTATTTTTCTCATTGTTCAATATTGAGTTTAATTTACACTTTTCAGGAGGTAGAAAAAATCAGTTTCCTTCTTTAAATATTATAATTCAAAATAAACCAGTATTGTGATTGACAAAGTAAAATATCTTTAATTTTATTTAGTTTAATTTCCTGTATTGTGCATGCTTTAATACTTATTTTATAATAAAAATTATTCTAAATGTTGAATATGAATAATATTTATAATTTCTTTTTCACAAAAAAATAATAATTAGAAGCACATGGAACTTCAATCCAACAACTTACAAGCTTAAAATCAGAGAGAAAAGAAATAATGCAAATGAGTGATAAAAACAAATAAGAAAAAAAATATGAAAACGAGTCAAAATATAGCAAAAAATTAATTAATTAACAAAAACTCATGCGAATGAGAGGAAAATTATATAAATGAACAGAATTTTTTTTTAAATTGGCGATAAAAAATAAAGTGGAAATTTTCAATTAAATGGGTGAGAAAAAAGCCCTACAGATTAGTGGACAAAATAGAAGAAAAAATATTTATAAGTTATGAGCAAAAAAAAAGGTTAAAAAATAATGTCAGCGGATAAAAAAATAGACACAATTTTATTTTTAAATAGTTAAAAAAATCATATAAATCTGTGGATTAATTGATAAACGTATGCTTGAAAATTACCATATAATTCAAAATACAAATAATTCAGTTGGATTCATTTGAATTTAATACTATTCTTAAACCATTCAGACTGAATTATGATTTTTTTAATCAGATCAATTTTTTTTTTCAAAAACAGTTTAAATTGAATCACGAACTTATAATATTCAATGATAAATCTCTATACAGGTGACATGTAGTAAATGAAAAAAGTGTCATGGTCTTCACCCATTAAAAATGTATTTTTAAAATATTTTTATTAAAAAATTGATTAAAAATACTAAATAATATTAAACTCTAATAGAATTTTAAAATAAACAATTACAAGGCTTTTGTTAAGATGATTAACAAAGGACACACATGATAAGCCTTGTATTTTTACTATAATTTATGGTAATTTATTTAGGTCTAATCTTTTAGGCTGTTTAATTCTACTGTCGTGTTGGGTGTTTACCTCTTAATCCAATAAACATTCATTCTTGCTTATATGGTAATTCATACGCATTTATAGGCTAGAATTATAGCCATGAGTAATGTTTATAGTCGCAGTTATTAGATCTTTGATTATTACAACATGTTAACATACTATACGATCCGCACTCTAGTATCACAGTTATGCATTACCTGCTCAAATACTATATAACTAGGAGCATATTTTGTTATCAAGTGTGTAATCTATTTCTTGGCAGTATGTTAGTATAAATGTTGATTTAAGCAATAAAATGTTTTTTGCATAAACACCTCTCCATTCATCATGAACCACTCGTAATATTTTTGTTAAAATGTGTGAAAATTAATTTTTTTAGTTTTTTGTTATGTATTATTAAATATAAATAAGAATTATATATAATATTTAAAAAACAAAATGTAATGCGTAAATAATATTAAGCATTATAATTTAAAAAAAAAAATATTATGTAATAATTTTTTGTTATATACCATTTGACACGTTGAAAACTCGATCAAAATAATACTGGTTTTTTTTTTTTTTTTTTTTTACAAGAAGTTGTTAGATTGTCACTGGACTCGCTACCCCAGCTATTGATGTTAGATACTACTTGCTGAAGGGATCTCTTTCATGCATTTCTGGACCATAATACCATACGGTGCGACAACGCACAGAGTAGTATCAGATCCAGTGGCATTTTGGTAAAGTCATCTTAACTGCAAAACACCGCTCTCCTTCGTTCATCCTCACGGTATTTACACCGTGCTCTCCTACAAAACAAATAAAGACATTAGCCCCTTTCTTTCTCTCTCTCTATCTCTCCTCTCTTTCACCGAGCTCGATCTCTTGGGCTCGTCGAATTCGGCTTCTGATCTCCGGTGATTGATCTCGATAAAGGCTAGTTCACTCTCCAATCTGCAAAAATGGTGAGCTTCCTCTTTGATCTGCTCTTTGGCAAACGCTTCTGCATTCTTAACAACCTTAGATCTGGACCGAATTCGCTCCGATTTCATGCTTTCTCTTTCCGTTGTTCTCTCTTTCAATTTCGAATGCTTTGCTATCTGTTACTTCAAATGCGAGCCTCACAATTTGCTTAGCTAGCTCTTACGATTTCAATTTAAATGGGATCTACTGTGGAACCGTGCACTGACTCGGGTTTGTTTGTTTTTTTGTTTGTTTCTTTCTTGTTACGTGCATTTGCAGCCTCTCAGACTTGAAATCAAGGTACTGTTGTTTTCTTGTTATGATTCTATGTTTACATGTGTTTGGTTGCCAAGAAATTTTTTTTAGCTTGTTTGCGAGATTAGATTTCTCGGAAACTAAGCACAGTGTGGATGTTAGCTTTTTGGCTACATAATCTAACGTGCTATTCTAATCTTTGATCAGCGAAAGCTCGCGCAAAGATCAGAGAGAGTAAAATGTGTGGATCTACATCCAACAGAACCATGGTAATTCCTTCTCCTTTGCTGTTTTTTCGTTTCTGAATTTAATTTATAATGTGAAACCTAGTTTATAATTAGGAGTATCTATAATTGCTTCCATCGTTTGATATTTCGTAAGTGTGTCTGGGTTCTACAACGATAGTTTGTGGGGATTTATGCACTAATAGTGATGTTTTTTGTACAAGGTTACTGTTGTTATTATTCAATTAATTGATGTTACGTTTGCTAATGCAGGATTCTGGCAAGTTTGTACTCTGGAACTGTCTGTATCTGGAACTACCAATCTCAGGTTTGCAACTCTTTATAACTGAGATTCTGTATATTGTTATAAATGAGTTTTTTCTAATTTAGAATATAATGGTGGGAGCCTATCTATTGGCACTTAAGTCAGACACGGGTGTTTGTTGATTGATCTCCAAACAAGCCACCTTTTGCATGGTGCCTATATATAAAGAGCTGCTGATTTACGAACGGAGGGTCCTGTTTATCCATGGTTTCCTTCAAATATCAAGCATATATATTATCTAATTGATTGAAAATGATGTAATGGCTCTATACATGGTGAAAATATTGAACAGAACTAACAAAACACTTTTAGTAATCTTTTATCTTGAAGCATGGCTAGAAATTATTATAGTATTACTATTTTCTACTTCAAAGTGGATTAGAAACTGAGAGTTGTGTGAAACTTGTATGCTGGTAAGTAAATTGATGAGTAAACTGCCTGTTTCATTCATCCAAATCATGCCCGCTCAAAATTTTCAACGAAAGGCTACTAACTAATATTATTTAATAGATCTGCATGTGTATTGGGATTTGGGAGAGTTTTTAGATTAAATTCTTTACTTGTGAATATTTTAGATGTCTTTATACTTTTTACAGTTAAGCTGTGAGACTTGGGCACATTTTCATTGTTTGATAAATTTTGAATAATTTAGATATTACAATCACCATTTGTCTTAGAATTTGTCTTTGTTTTTAATTCTGTATATTATGCAAGCTGTATTTTGCAGTTTCCAGTGTATTGGGTTAAGCTATATTATTCTTGTTCTGCCTTTTGTTAGTTTCTATGGAGATTTGCCTGTGTGATTAACAATAATTTCTATTATTCTATGTCAGACCATGGCCAAATCTTTTGAGGTTACTGAGTTACCAGGTACATAAAGTCATGAACCTTTTTGGGTCCATTTGTTTGTTTACCTACCTATTTGATGTTTGCTTGAATGGATACTTTTCTTTGTATATTTCTTACTTAGAAGACCACTGTGGCTCTTATACAATATGATTTTGCAGTTAGATCAGCCAAGTTTATTGCACGCAAACAATGGGTTGTTGCTGGGGCAGATGATATGTTTATTCGTGTATATAATTACAACACAATGGATAAAATCAAAGTATTTGAAGCACATACAGATTACATTAGGTGTGTGGCAGTTCATCCTACCCTTCCATATGTGCTTTCATCGTCTGATGATATGCTCATAAAGCTTTGGGACTGGGAAAAAGGCTGGGTTTGTACCCAGATATTTGAGGGCCATTCTCATTATGTCATGCAAGTAACATTTAACCCCAAAGACACAAACACCTTTGCCAGTGCATCTCTTGATCGCACCATAAAGGTATATTTATGTTCTTGTTCCTGGTTGTTTCCTTTTTTTTGAAAAAATTATCTCTATTCTCCTGTGATAAAATGCATTAATGCACCTTTTATCTTCTCTTTTCAGATTTGGAATCTTGGCTCTCCTGACCCTAATTTTACATTGGATGCCCATCAGAAAGGAGTGAATTGCGTTGATTACTTTACAGGTGGTGACAAACCATATCTGATCACGGGTTCTGATGATCACACTGCCAAGGTTTTGTTTCAATTTTTGTTATTATTATTTTGCTTGATTTGTTTGCCTGTATGCATATATATATAAATTGGAATAACATGGACAGAACCTATGAAACAGGTGTGGGATTATCAAACCAAAAGTTGTGTCCAGACCCTAGAAGGTCACACACACAATGTATCTGCTGTATGCTTTCATCCTGAACTTCCTATAATCATTACTGGTTCTGAGGATGGTACAGTACGCATATGGCACTCAACAACTTATAGGTAATGTGAGATGCACTGAGTTGTGAGGTTTAACTTTATCCTTATTCTATTTGGCATGTTTCTCTTGCTTTTTTTCACCCATTATCATCACCCTCGTACCATAACTTGAATTATGATGATCAGCCTTTTTGTTTTGTTTTGTTTTTTTTTAACATTATGAGATTGTGTTGATTTGTTACTTCTTTACCTTTATTTTTAAGCTGTTTGCATTGTTACAAAAAATATTTGAAAGATTTCTTTTGATGAGAGTAGTTTCTAGA